TACAAATGATTGAAAATAAATAAATAAATAAATAAATAAATAAATAAATATCTGCTCGTCTCCAAGATTTTTATGTCATTCCCCATAAGGCTTGTCTTCCAGACGACTTCATTTTGGTCATTGAATTTTGAATACATTTCTGCTTGTATTGTCGAAGGCTTTCATGGTCAGAATCACTGGGTTGCTGTAAGTTTTTTGGACTGTATGACCATGTTAAAGAAGTGTTTTCTCCTGATGTTTTGCCTGCATCTATGGCAGGTATCCTCAGAGATTGTGACCTCACAACCTCTGAGGATGCCTGTCATAGATGCAGGTGAAACGTCAGGAGAGAATGCTTCTGGAACCTGGCCACACAGCCAAAAACTTAAAGCAACACATTTCTGTTTGTCAATATTCTTCTTGGGTTGTGTTGCCCAGAACTGGATACAACATTCTAGATTGGGTCTGACCAAAGTGGAACAGAGCAGGCTACTGCTTACCACTACTACTTGTACTACTATTTATGGACACTGTATTACTATGGATACAGCCTAGAATTGTATATATATCACTCAATTGCTTCATGACTGCTGGCTGAACTGTGTAACAATCAGGGTTGAAAAACATTTGCCTCTCCAGTTATGTTTGACTACAATACCCACAATATTTTGCCATTAGCCATACTAGCTAAGTTTGACAGAAATTAAAAGCAAAAATGTTTGGAGGAGCGAGGATTTCCAAGCTCTCGTGTATATTCACGCCATTTAAAAACATTGTGCTTGAAGTGATGTGATAAGATAGGGACATTCTTTTCTAAGGCTTTATATCTATGTCAACTTTTTCCCTCTCTGCACTTTCCAAGGGGAACAGGATCTGATCCACAGCAACTGAATTTTAAATTTATGTCTGTAACGTTACGCTTGCTGATCAATAGTAGACTCTCAGGGCTGCTCCACAGAAGGCGTTTGGTACCATAAAAAAAGTAAACACCTGCTAACTCTAATTCACAATTGGTGAAGGGATGGTTAATCAAATGACTTAGTGTAATGACCCAAAGAAACCAATAGATCACAACTGGACTTTTTTTTTCCTTACAGGAAGACTTCATGGCAAAGACATAACTGATTACAATCCAATCAAGTTAAAGCCACTTGCACAAGTCAATGCAATCTCTTTGCCTCAATGAAAGAATTACATTAGCACTCAATAAATCCTTGCTAAGATTACAGTGGCCTGTAATTTAATGGCTCTGTATATTACAGTGTGCTGCAATGCTTAGATTATGGACATAGAATAGAAGACTGAGTCTGGATAGTTTTCATTCTCCCCTAAATTAACCTCTTGCATTTATGTGCACAGTGAGTGTGGAAATGAACGGATAAAGACCATTCCTATTTGAGGCCTTTTCTGATATTGCATGGTGAACTTTTGCACCCGAGACCCCTATTTCCTTTGTTCAGGCTGTAATGATAGCATAGGCATTCAGTGTAGAAAACTGGATCCAAAAGATGCTCTAGCCAAGAAACCTGCAGAATACTAATGCTCAGCACTATACGATTACTAAGAGAGGGATGTGGAGGTGGGAAGACCCTGCATTTCCTTCATCTCATCATATAAGAGAAATAAGAAATATATATATTTTTAAAATTATTTTGTATATTTGTAATTTATAACAATCCAGGGCTTTCTTGACAAGATTTGTGCAGAGAGGTTTTACCTTTGCCTTCCTGTAAGGCAGTGGTTCTCAACCTAATAATAATAGTAATCATCATCACCATCATCATAATCATTTATATTCCACCACCATCTCCCCGAAGGGACTCGGGGCATTTTACAAAGCACTCCAGGGTGCACATATAACATACATCAGGTAAAAACAAATCACATAAAATTATAACAACAACACATGTAGCTTAAATCAAAATAATACAATTTAAAACTTACTGCTGTCAATTCACAAGGTGCCAAGTGTCAGCTTCATATGGGCTCATTCATCCTACTCAAGGTCAAAGGCCTGTCTGAACACCCATATTTTCAGGTTGGAATGGAAGGATTAAAGGGTGGGGGCTAATCTAATCTCTTTTGGGTGAGTATTCCAGAGCCGGGGGGGGGGGGCACCACAGAAAAGGCCCTCTCTCTCATCCCCATCCACCACGTTTGAGACAGTGGTGGGACTGAGAGAAGGGCCTCCCCTCTTGATCTCATTTAAAAAAGCTAACTACATCACCATCTTGTTTAACCTTAGGAGAACAAGTGGAATACATGCAGAAAGTCCAGGGTTCACTTTCTGCACATTCTTCGATCTCAAAGAACCACTGTTCAATTGACAAGGATGGGAAATGTGTTATTCTAGATTTGCTATTGGGTTGCAAATCCTAGTTCTCTGAGCAGCATGTTAAGGAATTATGAGTTGAAGTCCAACATCTGGAGCAACATGCTTTCCATGCTTAGTATTGACAGTCCTGAAGTAGGAAGATCCAAAGTGTGATTTTTATGAGACAATTGTGATATTACCAGCTCTGTACAGAGATGTCTTTTGGGTGGTATTTTACATTGAATACAGTAGCTCATTGTCAAATATCTAGAACTAAATTTATTTTCCCTGAATGGTTAAAGTACATAACACATGAAGTATGTAGTGATTTTCTCTCTCGCCTTTTTACTTCTAAGTTTGAGTGTGGCCCCTAAGACTAGGATTTGTACAGGTAGGGTGTATAGCCCACATGGATGCTGAAAAGGAGGGAAAATACATTTCTACTGATTACAATGAATTCCCATCCACCCCCCACCCCAACATGGGAGAATTATGATGCAGAGGATTGAACAGCTGGTGAAAGGGAAATAAAACCTTGTTGTGCATATAAAGTAAATTGAAATGAAGCCCCAAGCAGTTGCTCCAAAAGAAACGAATCAGCAGTATTCCACATATTTAACTTATATAACTGTGGATTTTAGTATTATTTTGTTTTAATTCATGTTGTAGGCTGGTTTTTCCTCTGAAAAGAGAAGGATATAAAACAAGCATGACATGCAACTTTTCCCTACTCAAATAATTTGAGTAGGGGCCTTACTCAGGACAAGTGAGAATTAGTCAAGGGTTCATGATGGTGCTAAGTTGCCTTGGCCAACATGTCCCCCCCCACCCCCAAATGTCTTGGAGTAGCCACCCTATATGGAATTGCATGGTATAGTGGTTTGTGTGGTGAACTAGGATTCTGGAGACCAGAAGTTGCACTCTGTTTGGCAACTGAAGCTCACTGGGTGACTCTGGGTAAGCCACACTCCCCCTTTCTCTGAAGAAACCCTGCCAAAAATCCCCCATGACAGGGAAACAGCAAGTAAAAAATGAGTTGAAGTCACACAACAACAACAGCAGCAAGGCACTTTGTAATTCCCAAACAGAATGACTGCGATGAGTGGGGATAATGGGGCACATACAGAAAACAGCAGGTTGGGGAAGAAAGTTTTAAGTGGTTTCCCAAAGTGAGCTGCTAGGTTGAAGATTACATTTTTGTTTAATTTTCCCAAGTTTTGATAGTTTTTTCAGCTGGAAAGAGCTATATTTTTAAAGCTATAGTTATGATCATCACCCAGAATATTTCTTTAGAAATTTGTACATATTTGTAAGGATCCATCCAACAAAACTATATCGTTGTTTTGCATGCCTTAGTAGTGCTAGTTCTATTGAGCAGTGGAGCAGAGACCATTCCTTCATTGTTTCAGAAGACTTGCTTCTCACATCCTTCCACAGAAGACACAGAAGTATGCCTTGCACTTACAAAAGTTTTCTGATCAAATTCTTGCAAGTACAGTATGATGTGTTTCTATAGAGAATATATTCTTGGTCTTTGCATGAATATGGATATATTCAGATAGTAGTGAATCCTATTGGAATGATGAATTTCTGGCCCCAGAATACCATAGAATTATGCTGATGTACCTAGAACATGTCTAGAGAGGACATATTTTGTCAGATATGGATAAATGAAATCATGGATAGTGGTCCCATAGACACAGGGGTTGAACTGTAGTTACTTAGGAAGAGGGAAGCCCGTGTTGTGAACAGATAAGGTCCCATGTGCAATCCCTGTCATGTCCAATTAAAATGATTTCAGGTAGTAGGGCTGAGAGCACAGAGAACCGTTAACAACTAATGCAAACAGAAGGCTGAAGAAACTATCTGAACAGAATGACACAACTCCCTAGGAAAACATGTTTCAGAGGATTTTAATGAGAATGAGAATATCCATCAAAGTCAATGTTTACTTATCAATCTGAAGAAGGCACAGCAGGTTTGATAATGGGAACTGAGTAAAATGAGTCCCATAGGTTTTGGAAAAACCTGAGATGCAGGTGGTATTTGAAATGGTGTCTATCTGTTGTCTATTTTACTTTCTGGGAAGAAAGCAAGAATTCTGGTCCTACTTTAAGATGCTACTATCAACAAAGAAACACATACATTGTGATACTGTGCAAGGAAAAATATCTGAATGATTGAGGAAGATAGTCATAGTTACCATGGCAGAACCAATCCAGTGCTACCACCCTCATCAAACACTTACCAGTGCCCCTCTGTCAGAGCTCATCTGGTCTTTGTGGTGTTAGTGGCATTCTCAACATCTTTGATTCAAGCTACACCTGAGCTTTAGAGCACTGAATGTGAAGCAAGTGGCTGTCATTTTACCCCTCCCCCCATAATCCCTAAACTGCAATACTCAATATGACCATGATAAATTCTCAGGTAACTGGGCACAGCAAAACATAATATTTGAACAGGAGGCAATGGTTTGATTAGGAGAGGCAGATTTTTATAGCTTGGAAAAGCACTGGCTTTTTACTTTTCTTTTGGGTCATATGGATCCATCAGGGAAGTCGAATAAGGTAGGAGAACAGATCATGTCTAGGCCACAAGATTCAACAACATCACCAAGAAGGAGAACAAAGCATGATATCAGTAGCAGTGACAAAAGTCATCATCTTCATCAAATCAACATAATGTATTAAAAGGGATTACCACTCACACTAGGACATGCATCTTCTCCTTGTTGCCCCACCAAAATATACAAGGATTCATTCTTCTGGAGTTTAAATATCCCTGCTACATTCACACCATTTGACCTCATTATGGTGTTCTTCCCTTTGCCGCCGGCTGCACCATAAGTAGAGATGCTGAAAGTGAAAGACAAAAAAGAATAAGCCAAAGGGCACTAGTTGAACAGGTCTGGCACATCAAAGACAACTAGAATCATTTATTCTGAACAGAGATTAACCTTGGCTTCCCACCTGGAACAAAACATGAATGTTTCAGATTTTTCATTTTCTCAGCCATCCCATCCCTCCTACTTTTAAAAAACTAGCCTGTTCATCTTGGCTTACCACCATGGTGAGTTTAATCATACCTAGACACAATGCCCTTCCAAGACAGGTCCAAGCAGGCTTGGCTTTCAGGCCGGCTGCAAACTCCAAGTAGCTCACAAACCAGAAGGGATTCTTGGAACCTGACCCAGCAATGTTCATGTGTCACTTTCTGTAACCCAAGCAATCATTCCTCAATAAGGCAGTAACAGACGCAGGAGGGGAAGCAACAGCCACAGGATAGGGTCCCCTGAACAGATGCTACAAGGAACAGGAGCCATTGAACTGATTTTCTGCAGGAAGCTATAATGGCTAATGAGGTGCACTATTGAGCAAGGCAAGCTGGCAGGGCTAATTGGCGGCAATTAGGGGCCATATTTTTCTATGTATGAGTAGGTTTTGCATATAAGCAATAAAGCCAGGAATCCAGAGAGACACTGTCAGTGCCTCATTCACCAGCTGTGAAGAAAGAGGAGCAGCAAAGTTCGGGTCACGGCTATTCTGCGTTTGTCAAAGCCAATGGCTACAAATAGGTTATTTGTTCCACAATTGATAACAGGATGCAAATTTGAACATGCCCTATGAGTACTGGTGATCATCTTGGCAGAATGCTTAGTAATTGCTGAAGTATAAGGAAAACATAAACCAGCCATTTCTGGGAAGTCTGCAGATCTAGAAATAGATGGTGTTTGGAAGAGTAATTTTTTGGACCGCAAGTGTCAGAATCCTCCAGTCACAAATTTTTCCAGTGCCTGAAAATCAGGACTTAATTATTTAATCTAGAATTGCACTTGTGCATTTTCTCTACCAAGTGACAAAGGTAACTCTGATATCATTTAGTGAGTTAAATTTGAAAGAACACAGAGTTGAAGGAAGAAATGAAAATGCCATGACCATTTTCTGGCGATTTTGTTTCCAAATTTTCAAAAATATTAAGAGAATGTATTTTACTTTGAACAAGTAGGATGTGAAACAAGTAGGTAAGGGTTGTTTCTCACTTGGTATTAGCATTTATCCAGGATACCCAAGTATAAAATAAAATACAGTTGTGAAATGCACACAAATTTCCCCTTCAAAATGTATGCGTAGGGCATGAATCGAGAAGGGTAAATGATTGTCTGGTTATTCTGGAAGCAGAAGCCATGTGTACTTCATGTTATAACTGATAGCAATTCTTTTTGGAGTCTGGCCATAAAACCAGAGTTGAATGGTTAAGCAGCAACCTTAAAACAAAGAGAGGTGATATGCCTCTCATATGTTACATGTTTTTCCTTATTAAGTACTCTTGCAATCTTGACCACACTCTGATGTCACTTGATCACAAGTGCCCAAGTTTTATTCTGTCAAATGAGGGAGGGTGTGCTCTCTGAGAACTGTATCTTCTCACCTTGTCTGGGTTTTATGACCTCTGGGTGTTTGGGAGCTTTCTCTCAGTCCTATCACCTTAAAAGACTCACTTGATGAGAATATGAGATACAGTATTCTTGGTGTTTGCTGCCAACCTGTGCAGTTGCCTCCAAAAACACCTATGACCAATCAACTCACCCACACTATGTGAAAAGTCTCAAGATGAAAATAAAAACTGAAAACTTGCTGAAAAGGTTATGATAATTTCAGTCACTATCCTTTGATTGATGTGGTGTATTATAGACAGCCCTAAAGACCAAACTGCTTCAGACAACACAATCATAAGAGCAAAAACATGCTGTGGCAACTCTAGTAACAATACCAACTGTTGGCCAATTGACCTTCTTTTAAAAGCTCAAAGAAAGAGTTCATGGTGGCTGCTCCTACTTTACAACAGCACTCAGTATTAGCTGGTGGGTCTCATGCCAATGAGGTGAGAAATCCATGCAAGTTCTAGCCAAGGAGCTATCCCTGGTACTGAATCTTATTTGTAAAATTGGATTCGGCATTTCAAATAGTAGCTCCTTTAAATTTTGGAGTCAAACCTGGAACAAAGTGAGAGTGGAGCCACCACAACAACTTCTAGCAGCAAATATTGTGTTTCCATGTTATGCTGGCTTTGATGTTTTGCTAGCAAAGGGGATGCTGAGACCCATTACAACTTCAAAACCTCTCCCACTAATTATTTAATCACTTACCACAAAATGTATAACAACATCCTTTCAAAACAAAGTAGTGTATATTGATGACCTGTAACTTTTGATCTACGGGCTAACATATCACAGAACAAAATCAGCCCAGGGATACAGTGTGAGTTTTGTTTCCTCCTTGGGCATTAACATTAAAGAAAATGAGACTTCTGTGCATATAATTTACTACTTCTCTCTTTTACTTTGGGGTTATATTTTATAAGCGTACATACTATATGCCAGCCTTGAAAAATTCTTCTCACCCGTTCCCCCACAGGCAAGTCATTCTTTTCTGGATGGCTGAGTGAAACATCATTAGTTTTTTCATTATCATCAATCGCCCTGAAAATGGGGCAGGCAAGCAGATTTGGTGCCTCTCCTAGTCAATCTCACTAGGCTTTTGTGCTTTGTTATTTTGTGTGCTGCAAACACTGAGTCACTGAGGGAGGCTCAGAATCCGACGTCTGTAGTGCAATGTTATTTTCTTCCTATACACTCAAAAATCAAGACAGGAAAATAAACACAAAAACAACCAAGCCCTCAAAGCCCTCTCAGACATAGCATTTGCTGTAGGACGGCACTCTCTGTGAAAATCAACAGCACAGGTTCACGTAATTTCCATTACATGCAGGAAAATCAGTGGCTTAATTCCTTAGATCCAGCCACAAGTATCATAAAGATAGGGTTAAGATGGTGAAGTGACATGTCCTTGTACACAGTTATGAATGCTAGCTTCCATGCTATTAGGGGGAACAACCTACTTTTTATTTTGGTCTGAACTTTAAATGAGCTCTGCTATGTGATAAACCTTACTATGCATAGCTTGGAAAAATCATTAAAATACACGGATTCTCCACTCAATAGACATGGAAGCTACCAATTGCTACTTCTCACATGCTTGCGAAAACTGATGCAGGAGCAACTAATGATTCACAACATTAAAGTGCAGTCTGTGGAATTTCAAAATTAATTTCATGACATGGAAATAATTGTGTGTGAAATCTGGAGCACACCGATTATATTTTCCAGCGAATGTACTAGGAAGATTTTGTTTTCTTTTGCTTAATACTAGACAAATTTATATTCCAGTTCTGACACATACTGGTAATGTGAAAACTTTTAAATGTACTAAGACACAGTCTCTGCATTATTATTTCTCATATACTTGTTTATGTTTATATTCATATCTGTTCTTGGACAGGGAAAAGAGAGAAGAGGGAGGAATTTCTTTGAGGCTAATGGTATGAACAGATCTCTTACCTGTAGGTATTTGTTGCAGGTACTTTCCAGATCTGTACACCTGGGAAACTTTCTTCTGCCCCTAAGAGTACACTGAGGTTGACATTCCTGTAGGCATCATTACATTGGGTCTGAGTGGGCCCGTGAGGTCCACTGGCACCACAAGTGGTAAACAGCCAATTATCTGAAAGAGACAGATGTAAACATATACTACTGACTTGCAAATGAGTTCTCATCTGACTTGCAAATAAATTATCGGTTGCCTTACATTAATAGCAACAAAGCATAGTGCCTGCATAATCTACCACTGAGGGGGAAAGTACATTGTTATCACAACCGTATATTCCAATTCCAATTCAGTTCTCGAAGTGTTATCACGTACATAGCTGAAACAACATCACCCATGCACAAGGGAAAGGCATCAGAAAATCTGGGAGAACCTTGAGGTTCATAGAACTATAAAAACTTTAAGAAACAAAGCCTGAATAAAGATATATCACACTCTCACAAAAGAGCTGCATGAAGAATAAGTGTGCACAGAATACTTGGAATATTGACTAACTGTTCTCACTATTTGTAGAAGTGGACAAAGGTGGCACCATTTGATTCATTCCATAAATCCTTTGTTAATTCCAACTACAATAGATCTACTGAATGGCAATTCCAAACTCTTGTAAACTCAATCAATTCAATAGGTTTACTCCAGTTGATTAATACAAAGTTAGATTAAGAGAGCTAGGAGAGGCTACAGCAGCTGGCTTTTGCCTGAGACTGCAGGGGAAGAATCCATCCGCCTTCTTCTCCTTTCCTTGGGGAGTTAATGGGGTGCAAACAACTTTTGAACTCTGTTTGCACCAACTCAAGAGGAGTACAAAAGGAAAAGTCTGAGAAGAGAGAAACTGGGATGACAAAAGATTAATCAAACAGACCCTGCCAAATTAAGTCAGTTGAAGAGTAACTGCACACCAATGTTGGTTGCTTCTAGCTATGTTTTTATTTCTCTTTCAGTATGATCCTTCCCATGATTAACAGAACAATCTTGTATATACATATTATAATGATTTGGATATGCTAACTCCCATGCAGTCAATGGACTCTTCTGGAAAACATGTAAAGGTCTGCAGTTTGAACAAGTACTTCTACTACTATTGTTGCTACTTTTTGTCTTTTCACCTTCTCCCTCTTCTCACTGTATTTTAATGCTCATTTATAACTTTTAAAGCTTCTTAGAAAGCATTTTTAAGGGAAAGAATTATTAAAATCAAACGAGTTCTTATAGTACAATTCTGTGTATATGCCTCTCAGCAGTAAACTGTATTGGAGTCAATGGGATGTACAATACTTCTTAGTAGACGAATGGAGAATTGCTGCTTTAAAGTCATACAGCATGTAAGTGCTAAACATCTTCTCAGACACTCCTACAGAACACTCCTATATCTATCTGTATATTAAGTGAAGTTTGTGAGGTTTTCTCTTTTGTAAGCAGGCAAAGGTTTGCAACCTTAGTGTAGGTTGCAATAATTCTACTTAAAATAATAGATGAGTAATTGTGAGGTGGAACTCATTATCTTGAATATGCATGCACTGTCGAAATAAAGGTGAGCAAACTGAAATGATAAATGCTCTGCATCATTATTTTTGTTAGACTTTTTTTCCTTGATGGAATAGATGAAGATTTTTAATATTTATAGAAATATTTCTTATGCCTTTGTCAGGCATTTTTGAAAGATGTTGTTCCCAAATAATGAAAAAGGTCAACACACAGTAATGTAATTCATTGAGGACCATAAATTGTGAAATTACTCAAAGGAAGCTTCATCTCTTGCTAAATGCTGCTGTGTTGCAGAAAACAGTATGAATTACAGGACTTCCTGAAACTGAATCTATATGTGACCAGTGCCTTTATAGGAACCACAGAAGGATGACACAGATGCCATTTTGATCTTCACGCAGGAAAGGCAGCACATAAATGTAAGAAATAATGGCTGGTGTTTAGTACTGCAGTTAAATATTTGCAACCCAGAATTATGGACCCATAATAGCTCTGTAACCAGTAAGACTATGCAGTGTTACTGTAAAACTATGTAAATAACACTCCAGTCCACTTTAAGAGCCAGCAGCCAGATTGGGTGAGGAAGGACCATTCACCTTTTGGGTACAAGAAAATGAGATTTCAATTCCCTTTCACCAGTGAGAAAAAATCAGAAGCAAGTTCCCTATTGTAAATCTTTATTGCAGGTTATCTTTCAATGGTGGGTATTGAGTGGAAACATCAATCTTTTCACCCTTACTGAAAGTTGAACAGGATTTCTTTGCCCATTTCAGCTGCTGGGTTGTAAGGTGGGCTTGAGGACAGGGGCAGGCAAGAGACATCATGTAATCAATTATACATATGTAATTCAGTAGCTGATGTAGAATATTGGTGAATATTTTCACTGTAAAGAAATATGGTTCTGATATGGACCTGTGAAAATAGTCAACATACTGTTAGTGACATATGGAAGCCTATGGACCTTATCATAGCGATGCTCCACTTTTGTTCCACTTTGCCAACAATCACCAGTGAAATGGAAGGTGTGTGTGGCACCATACACTGATCCATGTGCCCTTCCTCCTTCCCCGATCACATGGGGGAAAGGTGGCAGATCAAGGCACCCTGTACCTTTACCCATCAGAAAGGGGAAAGCATCAGATGGGGGGAAAGCCTAAAAACCATAGGCAGCTCCATCAAAGCTACCCAAAAAACGGAACACGCACTGTGGAACACGCTTCTTGCAATGCTTCCTTGCTACTTCAGTCATTGATGGGGTGGCGCCTCAGCTTGTATCATATGATGACATTTGTGGCCAAAGAGGAGCCAGGGGCCAACCTTCCCCCCTCCCCACCCCTGTGTGATGAGGTGGTAAGTTCACTTTCCATTTGATCATGCATTTCTTTTTTTCATTGCAGAGTCATAGTCTTTTCCACACTACACAAAGTACAAATCCTTCTGCCCCAGTATTCCAGATTTCACACACTTCTATTGCTGGTTGAGAGCAGAGAGGATTGTTTTCAAAGCCACATGAAGACCAAAAGCTCTAGAAGAACCATCAGATCTTGACAGTAGTTGGGACCTTACTAAGAAGCATGTCTGACTTCCCCAATGAAAGTGTAATGACAGCATATGAATCTTGTATTTACAGGAAATACATGCATGAAAAATCCTGAAGTGAAGAAAAATATCCAAAACCCACCTTGCTTTACAAGAAAAAAAAACAACCTGGAAATGATTGTCTTTTCCCAAATGCAAGTATGGGATAAGTAAATATGTACTTTTGGTGGACCTACAGTTTTCATTTAAGGTTTGCTAAACACTGATGTCTTCCTTCTGGGTTTTCTTTTGGGGTCCCCAAGTGCACCTTTAAGCAAACTGGAAATGAGTGGTATTTTAAATAGGTTGTGACTGAAGTGTGTCTTGCAATCAGAGAGATGTTGTTCTTTGGCCTCCATCACCAGACAAATGGGTTTTGGAGTCCTTGTTAGTGTTATGGCCAAAATGTTAACAGCAGCCTATTAGTGCAAAAATGTTAATTTGTATTAATTATTTTGTTGGATTTTTATTATTATAATTTTGCATTTACTTTGCAGCTTCAGTCTGGGAAGATACATGAAGTCTGAATATCAAGTGATCCGATTGCACAGTTTTCATAGTTATTGTGAGGTTTGTGTGTTTGAACTACTGGCTTCTGCCTGGAGGAGATGGACCCCAACCCTAGTGCCTCATGCAACTAGTGGTAGGAAATTTGATTGCTGACTGCAGAAAGTCTGGGTAGAATTAGCTTGAGGGCCCAATTGTACCATTGGCTGTGAGGAGGGGATCCTGGAATGCATCTTTGCTGTGTACAACCTGCTGCATCATTTAACCACCACTAAAGTTCATGCTATAGCAGTAAGATGCACCAGCCTTCAGCACTAGGAGAACTCTCAGAGATGTCTGGAACTATAGTACTGGATCAAGCAGGAGGCCTAATCATGGAGCTACAGAAATGACCTTCTGTAATGGCTTGACAGGATAACTTCATTAAAAATCACAAAACATTAAGGCTGGATGTAAAGATGGGCAGAGTGCAGTCCTAGGATTTCACACAGTTCTCCCAGGTCTTTCAATCCCTCTGTGTTCCTTTCCTGCCCCCACAATAGATGAATGGCTTCTTTAGGAAGACAACTAATGCATAACAGATTTGGTGTGCATTTGGCCAGAGGCAGACCCACAGACTCAGTAGCACCCCCCCCCCCCTGCTAATTCCAGCCCTCTGTCCCAGAAAACCAAACTTGTAAGCCTTATAGCCAGTTGGCAATGACACATGGCAAGTGGGTTTATTACCATAATTAATTTCCTAAGGAGAGATTGGATCATGGTGGCTGGGGCCTTATGCTGTGGCAAGTGAGCTAATGGCATATGTAATAAAGAATGTAATCCTGATCTAAAATATAAGTGGAAATTTTGTATTAGCTTTAATAGGATGTCAAAGGCACTCCTGAAGTTTCTGTTTTTATAATGCCTAGAGGGAAGAAATGGGAAATCACACAGGAGATTTTCAAATTAATAGAGGAAAGATCTTGAAACAGAATGCCTGCTATACTTCCACCATAAACCTTTCTTTAGCCATTTTGATCGTTCTGGGGGTGGTGGTTTCCTATGGAAATTTATGTTCATCAGCGTAAATGCTAATAAGAAAATGGAAGTCTGTTCTGCCAGCAATCTTGGTATTTTAACACTTTGCTCCCCCCAGAAGGCTTGAGCCAGCTGCAATGGAGCATATGTTGAATGAAATGAGAAGGCAAAAACCTTACACCAGGCATAAGAAGAAACAGTTCTGATATCTCTGGTGAAAAATTAAATGTACCTCTGCAGGTGGGAGCTGGTGACCTTGAAAGAAGTAAAAAAAAGAAAGAGAAGAAAAATCACATAACAAGAATGAAGATTAAAAATAGGAAAAACGGAATCGTGAAGAAATATCCCCATATCTGCTTGAGGAATAACAGCAATTTAGTAGTTGTTTTATATACCAAGTATACCAAACTCTTTCCTATCTCAAGACTGCATTCTTCATGTTGATTCTGTTTTTGATACTGCTTGGAGGGAAAAGCCTCAAGAAAAAAGAAGCACAGAATGCATTTGGATAAACGACAATGAGATAAAAG